CATAGCAACCATCACAACGTGAAATCTGAGGAAGGGAGGAATTGTAACCTCAATATACCTACTCTTGCAGTACTGTAATAGGTGGGTGCTGTGTGCAGTATATAGTCCATGCATGCTTATGAACAGGAAGTGATTAGCAAAATGCTTGGAAACCTGTTACAATGTATCATTTTTTCAACTTAATTTACATTCAGAAGCAATGAAACACAGAGACAACTCCAATCTCACAGTTCTAGACTGAATGAAAGTAGCTGGGATCTCTGAGGAGCTAGTTAACTAGCCTCAGGAGTTAAATCTCATGTTTCTTTTTTTTAATTTATTTTTCTGGTCCTGATTAACAGCTCTAGTCTTTCCTTCTCTGTGGCAAGTAAGTGCTATGTTACCTGATATCATAAGCCAAGCTCGGTTTTTCAGATTGTTCCCCTGACAACCATGAACTGTCATGACAGATGGGGGTAGTTCAGCTTATTTATTTCTTGTGCATAAGAAATACTCCCATGGAGAGGGACATTCCGAGCTAGGCAATGTTGGAGATGGTCTTTTTTTTTTCCATTTGGACGTGACCATGGAAAGGTTTTTGCCTTAATAATTTCTTAATAATCTCTTGTATGTAAATTGTTGTTTAGATCTTTGGGCAGTATTTCCATGCACCCATGTCACAAGTAAATAACATTCACTTTTGTAATGGGTGTGTTGTATATTTACTGTTTGCTGAGTGATATAAGTTTGTTGCGTTAGAAATATTGACTCTTTGTCTTCACAACAGAAGTTTCAAGCTGGCAGGTGACTCAAGCTATGTCTATATAATAAGAGTTTCAGCGTTAGGTTTCAACGCAGATTAGCTTTCTATTTTCAATTTTTTCTTTCATATACGGTTCTTGTAGCTCTTCTGCTTGTAGACTTGAGTTGTTCTGTTTCTGTGCTTGGAAGAAGCTATGCCACTCTAGTATTTGTTTCAGATACAAACCTGCTTTTAGCTATTCTGCTTTTTAGAGAGTTTTCTAGCTGCTCACTCACAGTATGTTTTCACATCAGTGAGCTGAAGCATTTACACCAATGTCCAAGTGACTATTCTAAATTTGTAGGGCAAATATGAATGCCCGTGTTTGTATTCATGTAGTAGAAAGCTCACCCACTCCAGAGTTCATGGGAAATAGCAGATGTTTTACGAATCTGTGTGACTGTATCAAATACTGACTCTTTAGTTTCTTTTGGGAAGCCTTATTTTCCTGTGGTCACTGTCCCTCAGAAAAAGGCTGGGAGCTGGATCAGGTTTTTTGTCAACAGCACGACCAGAAATTTTTGTCAAGTTATCTTATGGCATGTAGTAAAGGAGGCATTTCTCTGTAAGCTAAGTGCGTATGTAAGTATGGAATCCACATAAGGGTGAGTTCTTCACACAGTCGTAATCTCTGTTATGCTACACTCTACGCAGAGCTTCACAAGGGTGACTCAGCTCCAGCTGGGCTCTCCTGACTAAATGTAGTTTCCTGTAAGTTTAAGATACTGTGTTACTTTTACACATCTTGAACCTGGATTTCAGGAGTTCCTTGCCCTTACCAAGGAACTGAGACCAGAGCTAGATGTATATAGAGTATTGTAGTCTGATATTGAAGCGCCACTGAACTTAGCAGCACTGCTCTTCTCCTGCCAGCCCTGCCCCAGCTCTCTGATATTAATTTTCAGTTATGCTTAAAGTTACTTACATTCCTGCTGATGAGATTTAATGGAGATCCACCAAAGAATAGACTATATTGTTCCTCTAGAGAACTTATAAACAAAAATTGTCATCAACCTGTCTTCTTCATGAGATGTATTCAGATCTTCTTTGAATACATCTGTGCACTGGATTGCACACAATCATGTCATAATTTTCTCTCATATTCCATAGACAGTAACTAGAGAATGCTCTTATTTACAGACTGGCTTGCTTTCTTTCCATTATATCTTAGAAGTGACTTGATGAGATGAGCAGAGATTCTTCAGGTCATAATCAGGATAAAAACTTTCATTTTGAAATTCAGGCATTTCTGAAATAATAGGCTACAGAGTAACTCCCTGCAACCAAAAAGTGCTGTCCTTCTTGAAGAGGTTTGTGCTCAGCTAGCACAGATGAGAGAAACAGAAAAGCCATTCTTGCACCACCAGTGAGAGAAAGTACAGATAACTCCTTTAAGTCATGATGTAAAAGCCACTGACTTCCCAAGTGTAATGCTAAATCATATTAATTATTTCCCCCACTGCTCTCATGTTTTTTGTTATCTGTGGCTGGTTGGGGTCCGATTACATTAGAATTTAAAATGAGATAATTAAAGAGAAGCAGCATACAGCCTCTCGTAAGCCATGTCCAGACACATGGACACTTAAATTAGGCTGTATAGTTTTCCATCTAATTGAATGAGATAATACTGACCAGATCATACTTGTTACATTAATAAAACTTGAACTTTTGCTAATGCAGTGTGCTTGCTCACTACTTTGGAGAAGATCAGAGAAATTAAACCTGGCTGCACTTCTGTCAGGAAGCAAGCTGGTACTGATAAAGTCCCAGACTTCTTTATTTGAAGGATGTTCTAAGGCACTTCGTCTCGCTCTCTCATTTTGAGACTTCTCACTCAGCTTGAAATACTTAGGCTACCATTTGGCTAGAAGGGCAGCAGAAATGAACTCAGGTCTTTGGAATGGATGGATGGATTAGACATTTTATGTCACTGTTCCTGTGGAGATTTTACAGCCTCAGTAAGTAGTGTTTCACTGCTTATGTATCCCAACCACCAGAACGATTTTCCTTACGTCAGTTTCTTGAAGTACAGTAATTGAAATTAGTTGTGGTATTCCAGCTAAAACACTCATCATTATCACGTAGAAATATGTGTAATACATATAACAGTTTGTTTATTCATTATGTAAAACTATACAATCTTGCAAGTAGGATAATGTATCACACTCCATTTCTGCAACTTTCCTGAGAATTTGATAAACTGTCATACCACTGATTTTGCTTTTAGATAGTTGATCATTTGTACTTGTAATAGCTACTGTATTCATCCTGTTTCAGCTCATTAGTCTTAAGAAACTGAAAATTAATGATGTTCTCTGAAGAGCTCTTAGTTCCTACCTTGGATTATCTCAGACTTCGTGCACACAGTGCTGCAGCATTATGCGCTTCATTTTTGAAAATCCAAAGTAGTTTTGGAATCAAGTAGATTAGCCTGGAATTGCCTAAATTACATCCCTTATTTAATCATTTTATGTTTTCACAGGAGTGCAAGGGAAACCTAGGAGAGAAATCTGGAGAGCTACTAACATATGGGAACTGTGTCTGGCTCTTAAAGCCTGAGATTTTCAGGTCTCAGAGATGAGATACATCACCTATCCTTATACTCAACATCCACTTGATGCTGCTTGTCAGAGATACTGTAAGTTCCAATCATGTAAGTTAGAGCAGAGATCCACCTTTAGCTGCATTTATGTTCTAGTAGCTATGAATTATTGATACTTAAATAATATAGCTTTTCAACTACTTGTGCTACCTGTGGTATAGGCTAGAGGAAATAATTACATTTCCCTGCATTAAGAAACTAGCATTTGAGACTAAAGTTCATAGCATTTTTTTTTTCTCCTCTCCACAATAAGGAAAACTGCAAGTATATGGTATGACTCCAAGTATCAGCTCTTGATGGTCTTTTTTTTTTTCTTTTTCCAAGAATTGAAGTTAGGTTGATTTTCTCTAAATTCATATGGCTTTTCTTCTTCCTTGTTAGGTATCATGCTTTTCTTTTATTTCCTCTGAGTCTTAAAATCCCTCCTACCTTCCATAGGCCTCAAACATCATAGCATGTGGATGATCTCAGGGAAGTCCTCCACTGTTCTTGTCTGGTAGATTCATAACTGCTCAACCTTGTGTTGTGTCTTGAAAATAGCCCAAACGGACCTCACCTGTGACAGTGGTTCTTTTGAATACCTGGAGACTTTCAACAAGACCATTCCTTACTGCAGGGAACAGATCAACTGGGCTACCAAATTGTCACGTTTTTCAAATTAGAGGAAAGAAAAGATTTAGAACTGCTACAAGTAGTGCTGTATGCACTGTAGTTTGTATTATAAGACAGTGTATCTTTCTTGTATGATATAATTTTTATCATCTTTACAATGAAACCAACTGCTACTGTAATCTTAACTGTTCAAGCACATACAAGATGTGGAAACTAATAGGTTGAGTGGCAGTTTAAAATAGAACTGCTATATTTTCATTACTTGTAATCTCTCTCCTTCATCTGCTTTGTCACAGAGATATCACGAGGGTGGCACTATTCCCCATAATCTTGTTTTGAGGACACCATGCCATTCATGGTAACATTAGCTGCCAGACAGAGGCATCCAGTTCTCTAAATATTTGTGGGGCTCAGCATGATTCTTTTACAGCATAAAAGGCACTATGCCTTCCTGCCATAATACATTTGTGTGGTTAAAGTGGTTTATAATATAGCTCGCCTAAACATCTGTGAAACAGCTGTTGGCACAGCAAATAACTGCACAAGATTACCAAGATCAGGACTGAGAAATAAAATTGCATGAGCAAATAAGTGATGAAGAGTTGACTGAATGGTTCACTGGATACAATCTCATATTAAGTTGAGTAAGAGCTATCTTTCAGTTGCAGTTACTTCATTAGGAGTTGTCCTTGTATAAAAAAAAAAAAAAGACATTTGCTAGGCTCAGTATAGCTTTCATTCCAATCACACTTAACACATTGAAAGCACTTAATTCAGTTTCTATGTACAAAGAACCATATATGTGAAAGCCAGGATTTATTAATATGCTGTATTAATCCATAAGCTTTCCTAGACTGACATCTTCATATGATGCAGATTTCACAGAGTTTTTTCAATGTTGAAATACAATTGTGTTAAAATTCACTTACTTGAAATAGACGTAAGAACAGACTGCTGAAATACCAAAAGTGTTTGAGATACCAGCACTTTTTTTTTTTTTTTTCTTTTTTTGAATTCTTGCCTTAATTATTAAACTTACAGCTAAGTCCTAGCAGTAAGACAAGCATTAGGTAGAAACCCACCTTTTGTAGATGTAAAAAGAGAGAAAAGCAGCAGAACTTTTACAGGACCTGTTTACATTCAGAAAAAAAAAAAACAAACTTCAGTCTTTGAATCTTTCTTCACTTCCAGTGACCACAGGAGAGAGACAGTGATATGACCTGCATGCTTTATGAAAGAGCAAGAGTGCCCTTCTATGGTTGGTAGTAATAACAAATTGGTGATTGTGCATTCAAAGTAAGACTTTCCACACTCAAGAATTTCATTTTGCTACTTTTCAAACAATATCAATGCTGTACGAATGTATCATTACACTCTCATGTTGCACCAACGTAAGTGCAACATAAGATAGGTTATTATATATAGACCTAAGCATGTTAAAATCCAGAGGAGGTGTTGGAATAACAAAGCACTTTAAAAAATATCAGGCTATCAACTTTATTGGAATCCCCTCTATTTAGTATTAAATAACTGAGCAGCTAATGAGCTGCAGTCTTTCGTTCCTCCTTGGTAGCATCAGCTTTAATGAGAAAGCATTTTAAGCTAATTTAAGAAAGTCTAAATTATTGCAGAGAAGACCTGCAGCAGGCAAACTTATTTCATCTATAATACATAAAAGATCAGAATTTATTGCAGAAACCATGCTGAATATACAGCTGGGAATGGAGTACCAGCTGATTAATATGTTATTAAAAGACACCTAACCTAAAATTCTAAAATAGTTCAATAAGTGATTAAGGTCATTAGGTTGAAATGAAAAGCATGGTTATCCCAAATTTAGAAGATGTGAAGAGAATTTCCATCATGACAAAAACTTTAGGGTTCTGAAGCACAGTTTGCTTGCCAAATTGTCAGAGACAAAGATTAGCCTGACGGTCAGTGAAATTGAGAAGTGGTGACATAATTGTTGTCTTTCTTTAAGTATTAGCTTTTAACAACAATATGATGCAATATTACAATAGTAACTGGAAACAACTTTGAAAATACCCCTATATTTAAAAATAATGGTTAACCATTCAAGAGTAGGGAGAACTTTATGGGTCAGATGCACAAAGTAACACTGGCTAGCAATTCAAAACAGTACACCAGGGACAGATTTATCTTACAGTCTGTGTGCAGGTAATTTGCTGGTCTCAGCAAACCATAGAATTGTAGGAGAAGTTCATTTTTTTAGTTTTTGCCTTCCAAGTAGTCCTTAATTTAATCATTCTCATGATAACAATGACTTAGACTTCACTACAGGTAAAATGAGGAAAATACTCACAACAAACCCAGGTCTACAGTAGATTGAGAGAATTGTGCTGTAATCACAAAACAATAACACTCCATTTTCTGTCAGTTTCAAAACTGGATATGTCAAGTATTAATCCAACACAGTAGGTGCATTTTTACTGCTCTCATTTTTAATAGTGCAAAAAAAAAAAAAAAAAAATCAGTAGTTTGCTCTATGAAAATAGCCCTAATTCTACAGATATTTCCATTTGCAAGCAAAAATACAATGACTATTTCCACAAGAGTCAAGTGGAAAATTTGATGCCAAATTACTGTTTTCATCGAACAGAAATAGAAAGTCCTTCATTTAGCCTTCAAAGAAAAGTTTTACAAAAATATTTTGCCTTTTTAAACAGTATACTGGCAGTGCATAAAGAGCAAATAAGTCCATTTGGAGCTTAAGCTGTACAGAAATCAATATGCGCTAGTAATTCTCTGTGCTTGCTTGTTGGATACTGCGCTTTACATCTGGGACACTCCAGGAAACTTTCATCAAGGAGATTTGAATGTTTCTGGGAAGGACTATCATATGCTGCAATCTTCTCTTCAAATGCAGCTTGCAAATCTTCTTGTGGTTCCACATGTCCAGACTCCTGGAGCTTCTGAAAAAGGAAAAGGTTTAGTGAAGAACTGGGGCATGCTTGAATGAGGTTCTGATCATATAGATGTAGGAAAAAAAGATTTGGTGGCACAAATTACATGTTACATACAGCACTAAGGACATAATTTTGAAGATGGCTAAATGCAGTTATGCTATTGCATTAATAGCAAGGGGCAATATGGGCCTGTTGAATAATTTTCATATGATATTTGAATTAGATTGCAGGTAGCTTTTCTGCAGGCTACTTAACACAGGCTTTCTACAACATCTCATTAAGTACAGACAGATAAGATAGAGCACATCAATTACATTATAGCAGTATTTAATGTATACTCTTAGTTTGAAGTAGCTCTTCTCCTTCATGAACCACTGAAGGAAAACATGAGTCCTGTCACTTTAAACACTGTGCAGCAGTATCAGTATTTCATAAGGTATAACAAAAAAGCCATGGCGGAAGCTATGACAGCAAGCTTCAAACTCACACATTATCATTGCTGATCTGCAGCTACTTGGCCATCTTACAATTTTCATACACATTCTAATTAAAAAGCCAAATTTCTGCACCCTAAATACTGAACAATGGAACATGACTTGCAGAAGTGTTAGTACTGCACACAGATCTTAATGCATTTTTGTCTACCTATGTAGGGTTGGAGGGTTGTGTATTCTTGTGTATTCTTGAGGGAGAAGAAGCCTGACAGAAGGGAAGAATGAAGGAAATAAAGAACACTGACTGAAGCTTTCTTACAGCAGGACCACCAGCCTCATGAAAATCAAACATTGAAGACCGTATTTATTTTAGAAATTCCTTTGAAAGTTCTAAAAACATGCCATATATGTATTAGGGAATTCAACATGATTTACAATTACACCTACACTTAGGAAATTCCTCCTTTTTGCAAAGAATTCTTATCCAACAATCTTTCTAGCCATTCATAAAGTATCCCCCCCTTAATCGAATGCACCAATCCACACTACACAGGATGCTGCCTCTGCCTGATTTCCTTCCTAAACTCCTTAATTTTCCCTTCTCCACCTGACACTATGAACTACAGTCTCTATGCATGAAGCTTTCTCTTTATGGACAACAGGACCCAACAGCAATCCATCCAACTTCTCAGCACAGGGAAACTGAACACTGCAGCCCTGCAGAAGTTTCAGTTGCTCCTGCAGCTGGATTTTCTAGTGGCCTCTGCTGGCAGTAGCAGCAACTATGAGACAGAATTCCTCTGATCTGCAACTTGTTAGTGGCTGTAGGATTTATCTTTTCTGTAAGCAGCAAGGCAGCCTCAAACCTGATCTAATGAAGGATACAGGCATGTAATTTTTTTCTTCTGAACCTCACTTAAGTCCAGAACTGCAGACTCAACAATTCTATTCAGCTATCACAATTTTGCAAGACCCTTAACAGAGTTCCAGGAACACCAACAGTCAAAATACATTTATGCTGAAGACTGAGGCAGTTCTGGATACAACAGAGCAAACAGATTAGTGGATTGCTTGATGTTTAATCTTTCCTTTTGAATTTCTGTTGAAACCAGTGGTTGAATCTAGGTGGCTTTCTTTGGGATTATATAAGTAGCAAGCAGAACATGGCCCGCAGACAATACTAACATCCCTTTTAATCTTAGGAGTTAAACAGATCTTTCTGAAAATGGATGAATATTGTAATCCATCCATTCCATGTAAGAGATACAGGATAGGGTGTGGGGAGAGGGATTCAGCTGTAAGAGTTGTGCCTTGTTGACCAGCAGCAAGTTTAAGTAGAAGCATACTACACTCCTGTTTCTGTACAACAGGCAAGACTAGAGATACATTGTGACAAAACAATTATGTTCTCTATTGAGGCACCTGACTATTCTGCACCTCCTTCTGCAGTATCACTTCTCTGTAACAGAATTTGTATTTAACTAGCTAATGTAGGGTTCTGCATCATTGGACTGCATAGTTAATGGATGTGAGCAACTACAGTGAATGCCTGATGACATGAACAGAAGACTCACTACATCCTGGGTGAGAAGTTGTTCATTTATGCAAAATTCCTGCAAGTTACTCAGTACATACCAGAGGTTCAAGACGAGTTATTTGCTCCCTAGCCTTGAACAATTCCTTAAAGATTTTGTTTAACTGATGCTTCAAGTTCTGGCGGTCAAGCTTCTCATTCTCCAAGTCTGCAGTGCATATTTGAATCTTGCAACCCCACAAAGGGAAAAGATGTAAAAGTAGAATTATCAAGAATGCGGTGGAAGGAGGGCGATTTTCCCTTTTTATGTATTTCAAACAAGCTTTACTTATAATCATATCCTAAAATACATTAAAATCATCTGTTGCTTTCATTTCAGTGGAATATGCTCAATTAATAATTAGAGGTAGAGTTAAAAGTTACTTTGATTGGAGGATATTTCATCTGTCTCACACTCCTAAACTGAAGATTTTCTGGAAAAGCATATAGTGGAAGTTTACCCCCAGAAATGCCAGTTTCTACTCCATGATCTTTGTTGTAGCAATCTGAAAGGAAACTATGGGCAACACTATACCACAGCTTAGCAAACATACAACATTTTGTCTCAAGGATTTAAGTGAGATCTCTTAAAACTTCCTTGAAAAAACAGAGAGCAGATGGCAATGCAGTTATTTGCACATTACAAGTTTCAATGAGCTGATTGGTTTTAGGATGTTTCCCAGACTTAATTTGAGGCTGTGCAGTATTTATTTGAAATAATGATTGTGCAGAAAGTAGCATTAGTTGCAGCCTCTTACAGATTTCCTCCAGAAAACACAAGAATTTTTAGAAGCACAGAGGGATCACCCAGAGATGCATATTAGTATCTATTATTACTTTAATATACTACTTATTCTTAAGTTTGAAGTATAATATGCACATAGACTTTCTAAAACAATTTAAGTATCAAATTCTTGAAAAAAAATCAAGTCACATCCAAACATGTAACTGCATACCTGCTGTTCCAACAAAGCTATCCTAGTGTGTTCCTCCTGCTGCTTGAGCAATGATTTACGAAGAAGTTGTACCTACAAGGCAGAAAAACAAGCAATTTCCATGCACAGTAAGTTTAAGAAAAAATTCCCAAGGAGGAATGGAACTAAACTTTTGTATTCCAGTGCCAGCAGAAAACACATGCCTATTTTACAGCAGCCAAACAGGATTCAAATACCTCTCTTTCCTTGGGGAAAACCCCAGGAAAATGTTATTACGGTACAGAGTAGGGAAGAATGTAGATTGATATTTTACTGAATAAAAAAATAAAGAGGAATAAAAACCAACTGAACTTTCCCAGGTGATTGGCTGAACAGAAAAATACATGTATAAAAAAGCCTATGTAACACGACATGCTACTGTTTTTAATAAGCAGTTTAGCTTACTTTAAATAGAACTGAAAAGTTAGAAAATACTCAACTATAAGGCATTAACTAAATGCATTTATAAGATATCCTCCATTTACAGGACATACCAAACTTTTAAAATGAATGCTTTTGTTCTGTTGAAAAATTACGAAGTAACAGTTTACTATTAACCATTAATAACCACTATCTTGCATCTAGAGAGCTAGTCTGATATTCTAGTTTTAGCCTAGATCAATGCCTATTGATTTACATCTTACTTCAAGTTTCAGCTCAATTGACCACCAAGTACAAAGTGTATCTTATTTGGATGACCTGAGTATAGTCCATAAAGAAGAACTTGCCAGGTTCTCTTCATCTAAGAGATGGCCATGATCTCATGTCCAGAAGAAAGTTCTATGTAGCACCACAATGCTGACAGGAATACTTTGTTTTAATTTGCCCACTGTAGTTGTCCACACAGGGAATCCTTGTGACAACTCCAAACAAAACGTAAGCACTGAATTATTTTTAACATTAACATACAGCATAAGCTGTTTTCCCAACTCTGCTCAGCTAGATAGGTAGTGAAAAATAATTGGGCTAAAGAAAAAAGAAGAGTCAAGAACTTCACATAATGGCTTAAATAACGTTGTTCATAAGTTACTCTCTGGGAAACAGGCAAGCCCTGCAAACAGTTAGAAAATGATAGAAAAGCAGCAGGTGAGGCAACAGCACAAGCCATGCATAACAAACAGCTTGCCTCACAGGCAACTTCCTGGGCTCTGTAATGAGTTACAGAACTCTTGTCATTGGTTTCTAATATAGTTGTCTCCAAGACAGCAATAGTTGAAGTTCCATTGCATCCCTTATCTACACATTGCTTTTCAGTAGCAAGATGCACTTGATAATGTTTTATCCCGGGCATAATACAGAAAACCAAGGATGGGATCTGAGTGGGGGAAAAGGAAAAAAAAACTGGTGTAGGCTGCAGCAGTCAGTTGGAGACACTATCCAGGGAGATGTGTCTGTTTATCCAGTAAATGTTAGACTACAGCTAATAGTAAATACCAGTTATATTCCACTTTGGACCACAAAATAGAACATATTAAACTTGATTTTTTTTACATTTTTTGTTCTCATTCACCAATAATCTTGAGGATGAAGCTTAATTAAAACCTATGATTCATTCTCTTGCTTCATTTTGTGCCCCTACAGTACTACTGAAGTAAGCAAACTCATGCTTAAATGAGGAAGTTTCACAAAACCAGATCATTGAACCAGTATGAAAGGATTCAGTTTTAACCACAAGGAGGATATGAGTATAGGTGAACACAAATAGCGCTTATCAGACCAAGTGACAGTCTGTTCTGATGAAGTATGGCTTTCCAGCTGTCTTGATTCTTTGCTAATGATCTTCAGTTTTTAATTTGCTTACCTGAGATGAGAGATCTTCAGACTTTTTCTTTTCCTCTCGTAGCTGTAATTTAATACTTTCATTTTCTTGTTTTAGTATCTGTATTTTCTCTCTTTTAATTTTGTTTTCGTTTTCTTGATCCTTCATTTCAACAATAGGTTGTGACTGCAGTAAGGCATTTAAGCTCATTATTTCTTGTTGTCTTTCTTCATACTTCTTTTTGAACTCATTAAGTTCACATTTCAACTGGGTTACAGTGCATCTTTCAGCTTCAAGATCATTCTTTGCATTTTCTAAGAGCTGATCATAATGTTTTTGCTTTTCTTGTAGATATCCTCAATGAGATAAGGAGAGAATACACAAAAACACCTCAGAAGCAGAGCACCAAACTCTTGATAGCATTTTGAAGCACACTGATGACATTTTAGCATATTACACAGGCTAGATCATCACCAAACTAAATTAAAACAGCTTTATAAATGTCAAAGCAGTAACTATCCTTCTTTAAGGATAGTTACTGGAAAATAGCAGCTTGGCTTCCATGTAGTGCTACAGCCACTTCCTTCACTAACTGTTATAGCAACATTACAGCATTTGTCCTGACTACACGAGCTGTATGGTCCCACTAATAGTTCTCATGCAGCATCATGCATTATACTGAAACATCAGAACAGAGATCAAAAGACATTAGAATCTCATGTTTCAATTTACACTCCTTAGTCAAGGTTCCATCATTACTTTCTCCCTAGAGACACCCTGAGGGGGGGGGGGGGGGGGTGTCTTTATAAGTTCTGCTCTATCACCACACAGAAATGGAATATCTGTTGTCTTCAAGTTGTACATGATCACTTCTACATTGCTTTTAAAGGAAAAAGAAGTAGGTTTTTTTGATGAAGAATGTCTGTTTCTTAGCTAACGACCTTTGCTTAAATCACTGTTCAAATAGTTCACGCTTCTCGACCCAAGAAAAAACTAACTAGGAAAAAGTGCTCCATAGAAATTCATAATATAAAGTACACCTAGAAGCAGAATAAAGAATGCTGTCATTCACAGTCCCTTATGATTTCTGGTACTCAAGTTCTTGTCTTGTGTACTTCTCCTGTTGAAGATTTCCCTCATGTTCTTCAAAATGAAACTTACTAGGGAAAGTTTCTTCCTTGAATGCTCAACACCCCCCACCTGATGCTAAGCCTTAAATTTATTAGCAATACTCCTTTACAGGGCAATGAGCTCTTCAGAGAGATGTCAACATTTTCCTTGGAAAAAACAAACATTTTCAATTCATATAGCTAGCTTTTTAATCTTTGATTTCTACTGCTCTCTATTTGCTTGAAGAGGAACATTTACTCTGTGTTTCTTGGCTGCTTTCATGACAAAGCTTTGACCATAGTAACTCTGATTACTTCATCTGGTGAGCTACTACAGGCTGCCCTCCCTCCCATACACTGTTCATAGACTCTTAAAGATTTAAAAAGTAACATTTCACAGTTCTCTGTAAGGTTACCAGCAGCAACATAGAAACAAAGCCACTGCATATTAATTACAAAGTGGTAATTACCCATAGAACTATCCTCACCTGGAGTAATAACGTGCCTATTTCATATATTTACCTTGCAGATCAGCTGCAGTATGAAACTGATAATTTGATGTGAAAAGGAAGCCAACTGCTTCTGGCTCTTCTGTTCAAAATTAATTTTATCCTACAAGCTGGTCAAGCATGACTCAAGTCAATCTGAATACATGCTACAGAGAAGGTGCTTAATGAGGAACTCCACAACATGGAAGTAAGCTAGAGGTAACCAGACCCATTATCTCAAAACATTTTGGACAAGTGTCAAAACCTATCACAGATGCCAACTGTTCTTTATTCATCTGAACAGATCATGTCAGGCTTGAGTCATTTTTATAATATTTATTTTGAAAGAAACAGACTGATACACACCTAGCCAGTAAATTCTTAATGCTTTCTTTATGGAGGCTGTGTACTTTGAAGGATGGGAGATATGTATATATTTGCCTCAACACTTTTAGCAAGCAGAAAGGTGGCCAATAAACTGTCAAAGCTTTTAAAAAAAATGTTTAGTGAAGTAAATAGGAAAAAGAGGAAATGATCAGGTAACACAACTAAAAAACAGGAAACAAAGAAATTCAGAAGTTCTACAAATAAAGCAAATATTATGAAGAAAGTCAATGATCACTGCTTTTATAGGAAATGTATTTTACAGATAATTATGGTTTGGGTCATTCATGGAAAAAAAAAATCAATACCTTCTGCATTAGATTCTTTGGGTTGTTGCTGACTAACAGTTTCCAATCTCTGTTCAAGTTCCAAGATCCTTCCCAGCAGTCCCCTGACATATGCTTCACGTTGCTGGTCATACAGTAACCACTGCTGGTTTTTCTCAAGAGCCTTTGTGGAAAAAAAAAAAATAAAGCCTCTACTACTTCACCAGATTTGTAAGTATTATTCACCTTGTTTCTTAACAAAAGAGGAAAAACTACATGTTTTACATTTGTATAAAGAAAGGAAAAACTACATGTTTTACATTTGTATAAATAAAAGCTACTTAGTTTTCCTGCAAACTGCATTAATCTTTTCTGCATAATTAATAAAACCTTTCTTGGTGTTATTGAGCATAAGTTAAAAAAGCAGCAATATTAAATTCTGATTGGCTTGTTTACTGGAAAAGGGATATCACTGAAAAATTTAATGAATTAACCTTTCGTTTGGTCAAATACAGTGGAATAAGCTAACACTACAGCTTACAGTCTGATGTCAGATATCTTCTTAGCAGCTTTATCTGATAGTATCCTCTACCATACCCTCTGAGGTCCCATTCTAACCAAAAATATATATGGTGATCATTTACATTCTTATACATAATACATGATTTTACATATAATGTTGTATAGGAGAACTTACATCTTTTAGCTGTTTTTCAACTTCACTAAGATTAGTTGGAGATCCAGGGCAGTTTATTACTGTTTCCTACAGACAAAGAGCAATCAATTAGCATTCTTTAAAATAGAAGAGCATATCTAGTTCTGTATAACTATTAAGCCCAGGGTTAGCATAAGAGCAGTTTAAAATTTAAGATGCATTTATCTGACACTTGAATTAAAAAAGAAAATCTATGTTCTATTTTAAGAAGGAGCTAGATTACATGGCAAAACATTACATAGATTTTTTTTTAAAGTCTCCTGGAAAATATAGGACATATCTCAATTTAGTTCACTGAATAACAGTTACATTAAAACATTTCATAAAAACACCACTTTTGGTTGAACTTCTGTCTTGAGAGATCTGAAGGGTACAGGAAAGCTTCTGAAGAACTCAAATATCTACAGTTTTTACTTAAAAAACAAAATGTAAATTTTTTCTATTTTCATATCATCATTATAGCAGTTTGACAATAAAACAGACCTATGGGAGTTCTTGGGTGAAGCCAGAGAACTTAAATATCTTTGAGATAACCATAGGATTATAAACATTTGGAAAAGGATGTCTGCTCAGAACCATAAGGACATATGAGTTTCCCAAGGTCCGATCCACAGCAGAGCACTTAAAGTATGAGTTTCACAGTTCTTCAGCCCCATGTAGAACTGAGAATCTGTTAAACATTTAAACTTCTTCATAATATGTTGTTTATTCACTGTACAACAGAAAGCTTTTCAAAGTTGTGTAGATAAGCCAGAAGGAACTTGTAAGGACACAAATAGAGATTAGAAAAATGTAGTTGGATTTAGCTAAAGTATTCCTGTTTTTGCAGAATATGATTTAGAACAAGTTTCATGACTGAAAAATACAAGAGATTTTAAAGCCGGACACAATTATTAAAGCTCAGTTCTTTCTAATAGGATTTAGATTCACCACAACTGTTCAGATTCTTATTTCTGTAAATATTAGAACTTGTGCACCAGTGAAAACTGCACCACTTCAAGTTCTCATACAGCTGTTCTTTCCACTTCAGAGTACACCTGCTGCTTGTGCATCACCTATCAGTTTTAAGAAACACTACTCAATTCGCTCTCAACTTTCCCAAAACATTCAAAAGAAAGTCTAAGAACATTTTTGTCCTCTACTAATATATCTAATCTGGCAATCAGAATCCAATTTATAACAGCGCAAAATGCCTTCCCTCAGGCTTCTTTTATGACCAGTTGCAAACAAGTTATTTTAAAATAAGAGTGTAATTTTCTAGCATTAGAAAAAAGCCTGCTGAACACTTACCTCACTGCTGAGGTAAGTAGCAATTACTCTTTAATTCTCCTATTCTGTACCTCGGATTGAAAGATACACTTCCTGCTTAAAACTCCTTAACTAAGAACTGAAAACTCAGTACAGAAAGGAAGTGGTCATCCTTCAAAATCAAGCTACAGGATTCTTTACTTTTTTTTTTAATGACCTATTATCTTGGTATGCCACTAAACCTTTCTGCAGAGTCAGAATATTATGTGTATTAGAATATTATGTGCTCTGCCACTGAACTGTAACTTTGTGCTGCCTGTAGGATACTATGCTAAATACAATAAGGAAAGTCCACACAAAGCAACTTACTGTTCAGAGTTGCAGTCCTGCTATTGCTGTGCTACAAATCCATGCAGTGATTACTAGACAAATAAATCCATTGACAGGGACAGCATAAAAGCCATGCTGAATGAATGCAAGTTTAAAATTTTCTCCAAAACTCTTCAGTGCTTTGGAATTAGGCACAATACCACTAGATGTAATGTGTTTATTTCCCAAAATACATATTTGTATTCCACTGAATAGTGTAGTATTATAATTGAAAATGAACAGATTAAATAAGCCACCAACTTAACATATTTGTTAAAAGCTGAATTTCTAGAAATTGCTCAACTCCATTATATAGCTTGGAGAGCTAGCACCATCTACAGGTTGCAAGCTGAAAGAGACTTGAAAGGAGCTGCTTTCAAGTACTGAATCCCATGTGCCCCCTACTGAGACAATACTGAATTTTCTATAGAGCATTGTAATAGGTGAAAAAACAGCCAGAGCAAACAAAATGCATTCGTAAAAGTAGCAAAGTGCCTGACACCACAGCTATTAACGAGTTTAAATGAAAAATTACTCTATCTTCTGTTACACTGAAGTATTTTTCATGCATTATGCCATGTTAACCAAGAATAAATGAAGATTTATAAGAGTAGAAAGGAGAAAGGTATTCTCTCCATTTACCCTCAGTTAAACAGGTGCAGAGTTTAGCATTCCTTTAAGGCCCCATGCCTATTCCTGCTCCTTCCCACTCTGATTACTCATTGAGCACACAAATCCATGAAGGCTACACTGTCTGCTAAAGCAATAGCAGGTGAATCCATACCATACCACCAGTCACACCTGCCTGCACAAGAGCAGGAAAAGAGGTCATGGCAGCACAGAATTCTTCCCAGCTGTGCTACCAGAAGTTGTACTTCCTGACTGTTTATTTAGTGTTCAGTCTGGATGCCACCTGCTGTGTTGTATGCTGAAATCTTATATGAAGACTTGTAAGATTAAAAATTGCATTTTATAACAAATAAAGGTGCTCAATGGGTTAAAATTGCAAGTCTAACCTGTAAACAATTACTATATTTCTTTAATGCTTACCTGGGATGCCTGCGAACTACCAGTTCTGTTTTCAATCTCAGAACATTTCACAGTAATAGTGGATAAGTTACATTTTAATTGGTTCATTTCTTCTGACAGAGAACTAAGTAACAGTTCTCTCCTTTCTGCTTCCTTCATTTTTTCTTCTAGTTGACTGTGTAATAAGGAGACTTCACTGTTCTTGTTTTTGGACTTAAGTCTGTCTCTTAGGTTTTGGATTTCTTTGTCCTTCTCTCCAAGAAGATGGTTGTATTTTTCTTTTTCTTTTTCAAGACAAAGAATTTTCTGAATGAAACAAAAAATTGACACAGAGGAGTAAACATCTGTATATAGAGCAATAACATTAGCAAATGCACAGCAGTTTAAGATATTCACTTTGAAACATTCTCCTCACCTTTAGTTACCTGAGAATATTACTATTTTAGTAAAACAGACAATGCTACAGCAACCACCTGAAATATTTCAAATGATTGTAAGTCTATAGCAGGTGAATCAAGAAAATAATGCAGAGAACTACATTTCACAGACTTGGTAAGCAGCTTTGCTTACAAATACAAATCACTATGGTGTATGAGCCTTAGAGAATAAATATTGTAAGCACTCTTGAGCATTTCCAATTCAAAAAGAGAAGTTAATACTTCTCTTAACATCAGTAAGATATTTAGCAGTTTTTGAGGAGCAATTGAACTTTTTATATAAGTTAAGGCAACAATTACTCAACCTACAAGAGCCTAATAGAGCTTTCAGGAGAAAAATTCTATTTTTTTTTTCATAAGTTACCTAGCATTTTAGTTTAAAGATCTAGTAAAGAACATTTTGCTTCCCCCCCCCCCCCCCGACACTGACTTTTAGGTAGGTTTCTAGCACAGTAAATTCTTGAATAGCATTAGAATTTTGAGATACCTCAG